ATAAACTAAGTCACTTAGGCATCTTCTGCTGAATTGTTTTTTGGAAAAAGATGTATGACATAATTAATGAATCCTGCAAAGAAAACTTCAACTTATAAGTGCTAAAGTTTTTAGAGATAAGCTTAATAACTTCAGCATATTAGCTGAAGTTTTTTTAATTCATCAATGCAGGGGAAAAAATTTCAGCACGTAGGCCGAAGTTTTTTTGGTGCAATACGATTTTTTAAATTGGCCAGTGTAGGAGGAAAACTTCAGCCCTCCTGCTTAAGTTTTTAAGTAATAACTAAAATACTTCAGCACCTAGGCCGAAGTTTTTTTGGTGCAATATGATTTTTAAATTTAGCCAGTGTGGGAGAAAAACTTTAGCCCTCCTACTTAAGTTTTTAAGTAATAACTAAAAAACTTCAGCACTAGGCCGAAGTTTTTTTGGTGCAATATGATTTTTTAATTTGGCTAGTGTAGGAGGAAAACTTCAGCCCTCCTGCTTAAGTTTTTAAGTAATAACTAAAATACTTCAGCACCTAGGCCGAAGTTTTTTTGGTGCAATATGATTTTTAAATTTGGCCAGTGTGGGATGAAAACTTCAGCCCTACTGCTTAAGCTTTTAAGTAATAACTAAAAAACTTCAGCACCTAGGCCGAAGTTTTTTTGGTGCAATATGATTTTTTAATTTAGCCAGTGTAGGAGGAAAACTTCAGCCCTCCTGTTTAAGTTTTTAAGTAATAACTAAAAAATTTCAGCACCTAGGCAAGTTTTTTTGGTGCAATATGAAATTTTAACTTATGTTTTATGATCTTTTACCCAATGTACGAGGAAAACTTCAGCTTTTAATTATTGACAAGAAAACTTCAGCAACAAAACAATCATATAAAATTTAATAAAATTTCTTCTTCGTTGTGTTATTTGCTAGCTCGTTAACTAAATAACTTCAGGTTAGAATGTTAGAATTCATCGTCAAATAGATTTAGAATTGCAACTTCAGGATATCAGTGAAGTTTGTCAAACAACTTCAATCAATCAATCAGAAAACATATAATTCAAAAACTATTTTGAATTCTGGAGATGAATTTGAATACTTACAATGTATTTGAATTTGAATTTGAATCCGAAATTTAAATTTGAATGCGAGACGCGTTCTCAGGAGAGACGGACTGATGGAGGAGATACGGAGGAGATCTGGAATTTGAATCTGGGAATACGGAGGAGAGACGGACTCTTATATGTTTTGGAAGGGTTATAATTGTCATATTATTACGGATTTTTTGTTAGTTGGTTAGGAAATCAATAGTTTTTAAAAACAGGGTATAGGTTAAAAGGTGGCATAAAAATAGTGTACGACTGCAAATCCCCCTTTAATTTACTAATATTAATGGCTATAAAACTTATTGGAGCATTCAAAAGTTCTAAGTCCAACCTTGAAATAATACCTTAAAAGATAAAATTATGAATTTTTTTAAGAAATATTTATAAATTACATCACAATAGGTATATTTATATAATAAATATATCTAAAATTTCTATATATGTAATGTCGGGTGGGTTTGATTTCGGTTTAACTCTCTTTAGTAAAACCAAACCAACCCAATTATGGTCGGGTTTTTTTTTCAACACCAAACCAAATCAAACCAAACTATAATCGGGTTTTTTTTTCTCGGTTTGACTCGGATTATCGGGCTAGTGCAATTTGTCGGTTTTCTTTGTACACCCCTACATCCGTATATATAACTTAAATTTTACCTTTTTTTCCTGACCTACTACGAAATTTTCAAGGTTTGTACAATAAGCCTGGTAGAAATAGGATTTAAATTATATTCACTGTCGGTGTAAGAAATTATGTATACTAGTATCAGTTTACACACAAGATATTTATAGAAAATATGAATAATCTTGAAAATAAGACAAATTAACTATCATAATATAAAATGACCTGACGTGTAATTTTTTTTTTTGCACTGACGGTATATATATAATTTAAATTCATAGAGATATGCCTCAAACTTGAAGGGGCGAAAGTAGAAATTCTCTTGCTTGAACTTTTGATGACCGAGAAGGGAGAAAATTACATGATCATAAGCTCTTTATCCCAGTAACGTAATATGTAGTAAATGTTCCCATTTTGTGAACAAGAAGCTCAAGAGCTCGTTTGGCCTGTCAAAATCTGTTTTCAAAAGTACTTTTGAAAAAAAAAAAGTTTGTGTTTGGCCAATTAAGAAGTACTTTTTGCAATATTTGGTAAACAAATTATGTTTGACCAATCTTTCTAAAAGTACTTTTGAGTGTCAAATTACCAAAAAGAATAGTACCAAGGTCTTATATTTCTTTTAAAGAGAAAAATGAACTCAAATATTTATCATAAGATACTTTTATTATTTTTTATTTTATTTAATTAAATTATAAAACATAAAGTAAACAAACATATTAAAGATTTAAATCAATTTTACATATATAGTTATACCAAAGCATATATTATTATCTAGTATAATTACTTATTTTTACATGATGATTTGCAACAACAACAATAACAACAACCCAGTATAATCCTACAAGTGGGGTCTGGGGAGGGTAATATGTGCGCAGACCTTACCTCTACCCCGAGGGGCAGAGAGGTTGTTTCAGGAGACCCTCGGCTCATGAAAGCAACAAGAGACGCTATATTAGTACTATCAATAGACTCATAATAAAATAACATAAAATCCATAACATAACATAAAATACCATAAAATAACAAAATAACAGCAATATAAGAAATATAGGAAATATGAGAAAGATATAAAGTATACTAATAACCAACAGATAAAGCCCATCATCAGTAGCTGATCAGTAGCATCCTAAGACTAACTCCTAACTAGCTAGTCTCACTCTAGTGCGCTGTAGAAATATTCATAATTTCCCCCTAACCTACAACATTAATACTCGACCTCCACAATTCCCTGTTAAGGGCCATGTCCTCAGTAACCCTAAGTCGCGCCATGTCCTGCCTGATCACCTCTCCCCAATACTTCTTAGGTCTCTCTCTACCTCTCCTTGTACCCACCACAGCCAGTCGCTCACACCTCCTCACCGGTGCATCAGTGTTCCTCCTCTGAATGTGCCTGAACCATCTGAGTCTTGCTTCCCGCATCTTGTCCTCCATGGGGGCCACACCCACCTTTTCTCGAATATCTTTATTCCTAATCTTATCCCTCCTTGTATGCCCGCATATCCACCTCAACATCCTCATCTCTGCAACTTTCATCTTCTGGATGTGTGAGTTCTTAACCGGCAAACACTCGATCCCATACAACATGGTAGGCCTAACCACTGCTCTATAAAATTTACCTTTCAGTAACGGTGGCACTTTCTTGTCACATAGGACTCCCGTCGCTAACCTCCACTTCATCCACCCCACCCCTATACGGTGTGTGACATCCTCATCGATCTCCCCGGTCCCCTGAATAACAGACCCAAAGTACTTGAAACTACCCCTCTTAGGGATGACTTGAGAATCAAGCCTCATTTCCTCTCCCGCTTCCGTCGGCTCGGACCCAAATTTGCACTCGAGGTATTCCGTCTTCGTCCTGCTTAACCTGAAACCTTTTGACTCAAGGGCATGTCTCCAAACCTCTAGCCTCTCGCTGAAGCCGCGTCGTGTCTCGTCAATTAGGACTATGTCATCAACAAATAGCATGCACCATGGCACCTCCCCTTGAATATGATGCGTTATGGCATCCATCACCAGGGCAAATAGGAAAGGGCTGAACGTAGACCCTTGGTGCAACCTTGTAACAACCGGAAAATGCTCGAAGTAGCCTCCTGCTGTCCTAACCCGAGTCTTAGCTCCATCATACATGTCCTTAATCACTCTAATGTAGGCAACCGGGAGCCCTTTAGCCTCTAAGCATCTCTATAATACCTCCCTAGGAACCCTATCGCACGCTTTCTCTAGATCGATAAACACCACGTGGAGATCCTTCTTCTTATCCCTGTATTGTTCCACCATCATCCTAATAAGGTGGATAGCTTCTGTGGTAGATCGCCCCGGTATGAACCCAAACTGGTTGTCTGAAATAGACACTGTCCTTCGCACTCTCATTTCTACCACTCTCTCCCAGACTTTCATGGTATGACTTAGTAATTTGATACCCTTATAGTTGTTACAGCTCTGGATATAGCCTTTGTTCTTATACAACGGAACCATTGTACTCCACCTCCACTCTTCAGGCATCCTATTAGTCTTGAATATAACATTAAACAACCTAGTAAGCCATTCCAAGCCTGCTCTACCCACATACCTCCAAAGTTCAACCAGAATTTCATCTGGCCCGGTAGCTCTACCCCTTCTTATCTTACGCATTGCCTCTATGACCTCATCGACCTCAATGTCCCTACAATCACTTAATTTATGGGGGTCGGTATTCCTCAATTCACCTAGTACAATATCCTGATCCCCTTCCTCATTTAGAAGTTTATGAAAGTAGGTCTGTCATCTCCTCTTAATCTGGTCATCCCCCATCAAAACTTTGCCGTCATCATCTTTTATGCACCTCACTTGGTCCAGATCCCGAGTCGTCCTATCTCTCACCTTAGCGAGTCGGAGTAACTTCTTCTCCCCGCCTTTGTTCCCTAATTCCTCATATAAACAAGCAAAAGCTGTCATCTTAGCCTCCATCACTGTCATCTTCGCCTCCTTCCTAGCTACCTTATATCTCGCAATGTTCGCTCTCTTCTCCTCCTCGCCAGTGCTCCCTACTAACCGCAGGTAAGCCACCTTCTTTGCTTCTACTTTACCTTGGACAAATGCATTCCACCACCAGTCTCCTTTGTGGCCACCGGTGCGGCCCGAAGATATCCCTAACACCTCTCTCGCCGCCTTCCTTATATAGTCCGTCATCATCGACCACATAGTGTTTGCGTCCCCACTACTTCTCCAAGCTCCCATTGCCGACAACCTTCCTTCCAACTCCTGAGCTTTATCCTTAGTCAAGGCACCCCACCTAATCCTCGGGCGGCCTTGTACTGACCTCTGCTTCCTCCTTATCATAATACTAATGTCCATCACCAAAAACCTATGTTGCGTTGCAAGGGTATCACCTGGGATAACTTTGCAATCCTCGCATAACCTTCTGTCGCATCTCCTGATGAGGAGATAGTCAAGCTGAGTCCTCGCCACCGAACTTTGGTAAGTAACCAAATGCTCCTCCCGCTTCGGAAAACTTGAGTTCGCAATCACTAGATCGAATGCCTTGGCAAAATTTAGTAGCGAAGTGCCCCCTCCGTTCTGTTCCCCGAAACCAAAGCCGCTATGCACCTCAGTATAACCACCTGCAGACAACCCAATATGACCATTGAAATCCCCTCCTATGAATAACCACTCGGAAGGCGGAATACTATGAACGATATCATCCAAGCCCTCCCAAAAATGCCTTTTAATCTCCTCATCCAAGCCTACTTGCGGCGCGTACGTGCTAACGACATTTAAAGTACACTCACCCACCACCAATTTAATAGTCATTAGTCTATCATTCACACGCCTGACCTCTACCACCGACTATCTAAGATGGCTATCTACCAGGATACCCACTCCATTCTTATCCCTCACGACTCCAGAGTACCACAACTTATACCCATCCACGTTTTTCGCCCTCGATCCGACCCACCTAGTCTCCTGGACACACGCTATATTAATCTTCCTCTTCTGAAG